AGCCAAGACCACAGAGCGTGTAAGGACATCAGGGACAAATTGTAGACCTGCACAAGGCTGGGATGGGCTGCAGGACAACAGGGAAGCATCTTGGTGAGAAGGCAACAACTGTTGGCGCAATTTTAGAAAATGGAAGAAGTTCAAGATGACGGTCAATCTCCCTCTGTCTGGGGCTCCATGCAAGATCTCACCTCGTGGGGCATCAATGATCATGAGGAAGGAACTACAGAACTACACTGCAGGACCTGGTCAATGACCTGAAGAGAGCTGGGAACACAGTCTCAAAGAAAACCATTAGTAACACACTACGCCGTCATGGATTAAAATCCTGCAGCGCATGCAAGGTCCCCCTGCTCAAGCCAGCGCATGTCCAGACCCGTCTGAAGTTTCCCAATGACCATCTGGATGATCCAGAGGAGGAATGGGAGATGGTCATGTGGTCTGATGAGACAAAAATAGAGCTTTATGGTCTAAACTCCACTCGCCGTGTTTGGAGGAAGAAGAAGGATGAGTACAACCCCAAGAACACCATCCCAACCATGAAGCATGGGAGGTGGAAACATCATTCTTTGGGGATGCTTTTCTGCAAAAGGGGAAAGGATGACTGCACCGTATTGAGGGGAGGATGGATGGGGCCATGTATCGCGAGATCTTGGCCAACAACCTCCTTCCCTCAGTAAGAGCATTGAAGATGGGTCGTGGCTGGGGGTCTTCCAGCATGACAACGAACCAGGGCAACTAAGGAGTGGCTCCGTTAGAAGCATCTCAAGGTCCTGGAGTGGCCTAGCTTGTCTCCAGATCTGAACCCAATAGAAAATCTTTGGAGGGAGCTGAAAGTCCGTATTGCCCAGCTACAGCCCTGAAACCTGAAGGATCTGGAGAAGGTCTGTATGGAGGAGTGGGCCAAAATCCCTGCTGCAGTGTGTGCAAACCTGGTCAAGAACTACAGGAAACGTATGATCTCTGTAATTGCAAACAAAGGTTTCTGTACCAAATATTAAGTTCTGCTTTTTTGATGTATCAAATACTTATGTCATGCAATAAAATGCACATTAATTATTTAAAAATCATACAATGTGATTTTCTGTCTCTCACAGTTGAAGTGTACCTATATTAAAAAAAAAATAAAAAAAATACAGACCTCTACATGCTTTGTAAGTAGGACAACCTGCAAAATCAGCAGCGTATCAAATACTTGTTCTCCCCACTGTATTTCAGGTTTATGAGGATAGTAATTTGACTGTTGTAAACCTCATATTATATATCTCATATCACTGTTACATTATAAAAGTACTAATGACAGCATAAAGTACATTTCCTTCACTAATATAAGTCACGTCATCCTCGAAGAAGTAATAAAAGTAGAGAGAACTAGAGAAAATTGAATATTCATTTTAATTTCTTGTAAACCCTTGTGTGGAATGTGGAACAGCTGATGCAGAATTTAAAACGGATATATTTATTTTGTGAAAAGCAGGCTGACCTGAATGTAAGCTTTCTGAAGGCCTCTCCTCTCCTGTGAAAAAGCAATCGCTTTGTGGCATCTGCAGTTAAGAACATCATATTATAGGTCATTAAAAAAAAAAAAGTATAAACTTTATAGCTGAGTTGACATACCTCATCTGTTCTTGTTCTTGGATTCTACTCAGATTCAGGAGCTTCTCCTGATATGGGCACTGTGACTCCAAACCTAGCTCACAACAGCTCTTCACAATTCTAATTAGGTGAAAAATGAGCGACAAGAAAAACATAACATAACAAAGTCACAACATAAAATAAATTATTGAGTATAAATAGAATTTTTGCACAGCTCTCTCTGGAGCTACAAAAAGATTTAGACTGTAAACAGACTTTGACATGTAAAATCCGTGGATTTCCCCTTTAATTTAGTGTTTTTACCTAAGTCGGTAGAGGTAGGACAGGCTCCTATTTTCCAAAAGGTCATGAGCAATGGTCTCAGCTAAATGGATTATGGGCAGCGTCAGGTGGTCCAGTGAGAGTGAGTGAAGTTCTTTTTCCAGCAGGTTGAGATAAAACAGGCTTTGAGTCTACAGGCAAACAAACATAGGGTAAACATGAAGAAATAAATATCAGATTCTTATGGGGATACCAAAACAAATGTACATAACAATACTACCAGAACAGGGAATGGCCCACAAGCCACCTGTTTGCTCAATTTCCTAATTAATTAAATCCATTCTTACCCCATACTCCCATCCCATTCTGGTGATAGATCCAGAAAATAATTACAACACAGCTTTTAACCTCATCCAACATCATAACAGATCAATAAATTCATTTCCTCTCAAACAACTAATGACAGCTTCTTACTCAGCTGAGCATTTGATCCTGTACAGCCAGCGGACACAGTCCCTACAATCCCTTAAATCATAGACAATACCATACCACACCGCGGTACATGATATTGGAACTGAGAGAAATATGAAGGAGAGGTGTGTAGCCTTGCCTTCTTTCTAATGCTGTGTGCATTGATACAGTGAGGGTTACTGTTGGATCTGAAGATCTGCCTGGCCTGGTCAGGACAGACGTAGCAAGCCCAGTCTTTTGGGGTGGAAGGAAGTGCCTGATCCAAGACAACAGGTTTAGGTTTGTCTTCTGCAGGGGAGGGCTGGTCAAACAGATTGGACAGAGAATTTTTCTTCTATTATTTTATTAATAGAGTGCAGTCAGAATTTAAAATTAAGTACAATTAACTAGTTCAGTTAATACCTTTCAAGAATATTTGTACTGCCCCAAATAATTTCTGTGAATAATATGCACATTTTCAATGTGGTAATATGAAACATGCGAGCTCAATTTTAATAATAAAGAAAATGTTGAAGTGTTCAACACTGCTGAACATAATTAATACTTGTAAGAGAGCAATTCAAAGCATTGCTTTTACGACAGAGGATAGACAATGGCTGCAGCTAATTATTGAGAAACAAGACAAGTAACTGCATTATTCTTAAAAAGTAAAGAACTAGTATTGTATGTTACACGCTACTGAAAACTGTAAATCTAAACTATAGGATGTTCATGTTTCACCTTTTTGCCTTTGCCCTTGTCTTTGCCTTTTTTGGATCCAGCAGAGGGAGGAGGCTGGGATGGCTGAGTCTTTGCCATCTCAGTGGAAATCTCACAACCCACTGCCATGGACACCTGGAGTGACAAACAGCACACACATATGCACATTCCATACCCACTTCAATAACATTTGCATTTGATGAACAAACTCATCCACATTGTCAAAGTTAAGTGATAACGTTGTGGTAAAGATGCAGTACCTGCCATATTCGAAGTACAAAGGTGTAGGCTCGGAGCAGGTTAAGCTGGTGCTCAGGTGAAGTCTTGTCTGCCATGACAGCGAGCAGAGTGTGTGCTCGTACCAAGCCATCAAGGCGCCATACCTCCTTCAGATTACACAAACGCTGTGTGAATAACAAGCCC